CTGCTGAGGATTATTTTAAAACACAAGTATATGCATATTGAGTGTAACTGCTAGGTGCTGTAGAAAGGTGGAATAGAATTTCTGCCATGAAACAGATACACTTGAAATGAAAAGAAAGCAAAGCTACTGTATTTAACCTTTAGGTTGCATAGAAATTTTTAATGAAACAAGAAACAATATGCCAGGAAAAAAAGACGGAAGCTGAAAAGCATTAGAAAAAAATTTGAGGGAAAACCGGATTCTGGCTGTAAACATGATAAATGGTATGCTCCATTGTTTGTTTTAAACTTTGCTTGGTAATCTAAAGAAGTTATTCTGATACTGTATTATACTTAAAATACAGTAATTTCTTTAAAGTCTTGCTTGTACTTTACTAGCCCGTAGACTTTACAACCTAAACTAAATCAGTCTGTCTCTCTTTAGAACAGGTATTGCTTGCTTAGGACCAAAAGATAAAATGGAGATTACTTTGCTGTGTTTGAAACCATTTGTTTAAGTCAGAGTCCTTCCACCGGGATTTCCAAGTCTGCATACAGAAAGGATTCATGAGTAATGGCTTGAAGCATAAGGACTAATACAGTGGGAGTCTTGGGTCTAAAGAAGGGCCTAAATAAAGTCACCAGGAGGACTGTAGAGGGGAGGAGAGAGTGTGGTAATCTGACTTTCAACAATCCTATCTAGTTTTATTTAGGAGTATTGCGGTGAGTTCTTTCTTCTAAGACAGTGCACCCGTGCCCATAGCAAATAGCCGTCATAGTACTGCGTTTCAGTGAGACTTCTTCCAGTGCTGCGGTGGGATATATGGTAAGCCCACTCTGAGCCCTACGTGAGACGTGCTAATGGCAGAAGGAGGCATAGTGTAAACAATCGATGCTGATTGAAAAGTGCAGAAAATAAGTGTAATTATTTTATTTTTAGGTGAAATGGATGTAACGGTCATGACTCATGATTTAAGCCTGCTCTGAGTCTACCATTTAAAGCAGATTTGGAAACTCTTAAATACATAACAGTCAAGATTTTCTGTCTGTAGCTTGTTGCTTGTGTGTAAAGTCTTCATTTTCAAGGATTTCCATATTAGTTTGTTTTGGTTGCTAGTAAATAGAATTGTCCGTTCAGTTTCCTGTGGTGAGTGCAGAAATAAGATCTTATGCTTGTTACATTAAAAATGTTACATTAACTGTACTTCATACACCTTCCTAAGACCATTTCAGCACTTTAATCTTCCCTTGCATTATTCTTCATCCAGGATTTGTGGAGTGGTACAAACCAGCAGATAATCTTTCTTGGTCATCAACTCAGAAATTTCACCGAGCTTTCAATAATTTCTCATGACTGACAGTAGCCCTATGTCCAAATGAGTCCTTAAATAAGAATTTTTTGATTTTTTTTTTTTTTTTTTTTTTACCTACACCCTGTATATGCAGAAGCTTCTATGGAAAGTGAACCCAGCTTATTCCTTTGACTTACATCAGGAAGACCACAGTACCATTAGAGGAACAGTGTCTGTCATAATATGAAGCTGCAAAATGGAGCCAGAAAAGGCAATTGCTTGATATTCAGGGCAAAAATAGAAGAAGAAAAAGAGAGGAGTCAGCAATGGCATAACCAAATCACTTTCCTCGTGTCCTGTGGAGATGTTTCTCTTCTTAAGTGCGTTTAGATGAGAATTCGGAATAGATGGTTACATATCTGTGTTCGACAACCAGGAAATAAATGAAAAAGAAAATTATTCTTTTAGAACTATATTTATTAAAACACTTTAAATTCTATATATATGTACGTAAACTTTACCAGTTTCTCCTTTTTAGTCTTTTTTGGTGTCTCAGTGGTACCTGAATACTTGTAGTTCTTGGTACTTCTTCCCTGGTTATCCCACGTACATTGCACTGTAGCTCCTGTTTTCCTTGTTCAGGTAGGTAACGAGGCAGGAGCAATTAAAGGGAAATAATACCTTCAACGTGTCTCTCCGAGCCTGCTCCTGTAGCATTCTCCGCACATCCGTGTAGCTCCCAGAGCTTTGGGGATGGTGTGTTTAATGTTCGCTGCTGGTTTTGACTGCCACAACATGAAAAGCCGCAGCTCTTCTAGCAGTCTCCTGAGACATCCACGATGACAGCTTTCTTAGTAAATGGGGAACTGGGGGACTGGCAGTGCTGCTTACAAATAGATGGAGATACCATTTCTCAACACTGTTTCAGAAATGTGTTGCCTGTAGTAATTGCAGAATAGAAATAATAAACAGTTACTTCGCTTTGTAAAATGAAAATATATTTGTATGATGTTTGTCAGTAATGTAACATGCATATTTTCCCACTTAATAAGTGATGGCAATGTATTAATTGTAACTCTCTTACGATCCTTTAGGTGGCTATAATAGCGGGAAATTTTGAGCTTGCTGAATATATCAAGAATCACAGGGAAGCTGATATTGGTAAGCAACATATTTACAGACACTGAAAATGAGTTATACATGTTCACACCAGGATTTTGCAAAGATGTTAAATCTGATTCTATGTGAGATATGACTACAGGGCTGATGACAGCATCGTTTCAGAGAGATTTTAGAAGTAACTTTTCTATAAAAAATGAAGATGGGGAAAAAGCTGAAATGTTTTCAAAATATACTCTGAAAATGAAAATTTGATAAGTAATGCAAGAGTGGTAGATGCTTTATAAGTGTAAATTAGACAGTCTGTAACAGGTTAAATACACATCCACATACCTGGAAGAGCCAAATTGGCTCTGGCAGGCTGTTTTGGCAACAACCTAAAGCAGCTCTCAAGTAGGAATAATGGGTCAGAAGAAGATAAAGAAAGGTGCTTCTCTGCAATTAAATGAATATATGGCAGAAACTGTCTATTCATATCCATAAAGCCACTTCCTCCCACTGGGTTTGGTGTGTGGCACTGGGGAAGGCTACTGACAGGCGTTAAGGGCTGTTGACAAAAAACCTTACATTTTTTTAAAGATCTTTTTACATAGAAAGTTTTACTATTAAAATAAAAACCATTTTGATAAAAGTGATTTCTAATACAGTTTAATTAAAATGAGTTAAAATTTTTCAGTTCAAGTTAATTGAAGTTCTGCAGAAACATCCTGAAGTTGAACAAGTAAATGCATTCCTTTTGAAGCGGGAGGGTTCGTATAGTTGTCTGTGCTGATTTAACTCAGTGATACAGTCTATGACTTGATAGTGTTTAATTTATGGGGAAAACTAGGCCAGCTCACGTGAAACTTAAGACTGTGAAAGAATTGCTCTGTATTAAGGCCTCCTTCCCATTTCCCTTCTTGGTTGCATATGATCTGCAGGCATATAGTTAAAAATTCTGTGCGGTAATGTGAATTCTCGTAGCACTGTGATACTTTCAGCTGTTTGCAGTATGCATTGAGAAAACTGAGGACACGTTGCATGAAAGTTTTATGTAAAAGTCATAACTTCTGCATAAAAGTTTGTAGTGAGTTTGGAAGGTTTTTACCTGAGATAGTGGGATAGTTCCTTTCCACGTAAGAAGTCTTCATCCTTCTGTATTTATAAACAATCTGATGTAAAAAAATAACTAAAAATGGACCAGTTATTGCTAATAGGGTGAGCATCTTATTGTTGTTTATGTTTACATACGGCTAATGGTTTTACAACTTCATGAAGACGTTGAAATGAAAGGAAATAGTTGTTTAGATTCAAATGTTCCCTTTATTTGTGCCATGTTAGTTCATGATATTTTGGCTTGCATGTAGAGTCAGTGCAGAATAAGTACTGCACATAGGCAATACACAATATTATGTTCTATATGTCTCTAAATGGATTTTGTTCTGTTAAAAATAGTTGTGTACAATTAAAAAACCCCACTAGTAAAGGAATGACTTGCTAATATTAATTATGCATATGCTTACAGTATGAGTAACTGTAAAAGTAACACAGTACACTTAACATAGTAGTCTCTAAAACAACTTGCATGAAACCGCATTGATGTTAATGTCGTCATTTTTTGGACTGACTAGTTCTGTACTACTTTTCCTTTACCCTGACCAGTGCAAGTTCCAAGTTGGCAATGTGTGGGAGAAACTGGAATGTAGTTATGAAGCAGACGGATGAGACTTTGTCCAGGAAACAAGTGATAGCCACGTGGCTGAGGCTTTAGGCAGAACTTATTATTACTGACTGTAAAAACTTTCAGTAAGGTTTGGTGTTTTCTAGCAAAATGCTTAGAAAAAATCTCTTCTATGGGAGGGTTCTACAAATTTTCCTGATGCCTTCAATTTTCCACTGAAAACCAGAAATATTGGTGCTTCCATGATTCACTTGCATCTTTTTGCAGGATGGTGGTGGATTGCACATAACTATTTAAATTAGTAGATTTGTCTTAAAGAATAAGCTCTATGTTATGTTGTTTCCTCCCAGCTAATTTAATTTAGCTGGACGTTTGCCCCTTAAGATTTATTACTTTAAAAAAAAAAAAAAAAGTGAAGTAATCCAAATGTCTGTTTCTGAAATGTCTCCTGGTTTAAAAAAATGAATAAATCAAAGAACAGTATCCTGAACAGAAAACCTGGGAGCTAGTATGATGATGAACGTGCAGAATAATGTCAGCATTTAAACTTCAACAAGTTGGCTTTTATTTATCTTACTTGTCTGATTATCCACTATGTTCATGTAGTTTTGGATGTATTCCAACATATATCATTTGAGTAATGTACCATCTCAGAGCCCAGAGGCAACAGAGTGGGAAGGAATAGCAAAAGGCTTGAGAAGTATCCTTGTGAAGATAAGGACAGATCATACTATGAAGTCTTTCGAGAAACATTTCATCTTTCATCTTTCAGAAAGTGTATTTTTGGTTAGATATGGAATTTTGATATAGAACCAGTTCATTAAACCTTGTTGTTATTTTAGGCTCCTTTAATAATTGAAATTACTTTGTATTTTGTAATTATTTTAGACTCATTCAATAATTAATAAGTTACAACTGTAAGAAATTCTTTGAAATATGTGCAGCTTCAGGTGGGTCTCTTTTCTGTGCAGATTTAAGCTGGTAGATGATGAGCTGTTCAATCATTTAATAGTAACCTTGTCAATGATATTCACAACTGTTCGCGATAGCATTCATTGGAAGGAGGGGTCGGTGGTGCATTGGGAAAAACTCCACATTGCTCTTGATTCGTTGGAAAAAACTCCACATTGCTCTTGGAAGATTTCTGACCTAATCTTTTAACTTTTAGTGATCTTCATGCGCAGTATCTTTGGCTATACACACTTTTTAAATGCAAGCCTAATATACAACTGAGTAATGTAAGTGGCAATAATATTTTTTTCAAAAAGAATCTACCTACTTTCCTGGGTATGTCATCTTAAGGATGGGAGAATTTTATTTGGTGGTAGTGATTGGAGGCTGGACCTAACTTAGTAGTTTCAAGAGCAGGTTTTATCTGGTGACAGAAGCAAGCTTTTAAATTTCTCAAACTGAAGTATCTGTAATACAAAAAATAATATTTACATGAAATCTCTGATCTTACATAGTGAGGAGCTATACTATCCATGTCCATCTGTTTTGACATGTGCTAATTAACATTATTCTTAGATAATTTTGTTGCCCCAAACTATTGCAGTAGGAAGTCACTTGTACTTTCAATGCAGAAGGTATTATGTGGGTGTCTTCCAGTTTGTCAGTACTCACAAAGCTGTTTCATGTAATGTTGCCAAAACTGCAATTATAAGTCTCTAGCAGCAGTAATGTAATGCTTATGATTCACGGTCCTCTGCCATGCTTTGCGGTGAATGAGCGGCTTTGTTCCGCGGCAGAGATCGTAGCTCAACCTTTCCACGGAAGGAAGGTATCGCTGCCTGTGGATTGAAGAGATGAGCCTGCAACCTGCCAACGACAAAAGCACTACATCTCAATGCAGTGGTCCGCAAGAGCTCCACGTAAATAAATGTATGTGCTTAAGTGCTGGGTGTATCACTTACTATCTATTCCACCTTTGCCTGCCAATTATATGTCATTGGCATTTGGAGTAGAATACCATTTTAAGCTATACACAAAGTCTGGAGTTGTTCAGTTCAGAAGAGGCTGAATTGCATGTCCTAAAGGGAGTCTTTTTTTTAGGGTCATTTTTTTTTTTCCCCCCCTCTTGGCCTGGATCTGTGCCAGACTGTAGTGCGAAGACTATCCCTATTGTTGAAGATGATGGAGAAGTAGCTCAGGTGGAAAATGACCAGGGTATCCTCTAGCAGTATAGAAATTCTAGTTTACAGCAGAACCACTACATTTTTGTTGTACAGATCAAATCCCACAGAGATTGTTCTTTCTTTTTATTTAATTATAAAGCAGTTATATTAGACAAATGTGTTGAAATGCTGAAAAACTAGACATATATAAAATAAGCTTCTTTGCAATAATTGTAAGACTTCATACTGATCTGTAAAAAGAAGAAAAATGTAAAAATATCTATTTTAGAGGCGACTCAGTTAGCTAAGCTGAGTGTGTTTCAAGATAGAGAAGGTCGTTTAGGGTTTCAGAACCATTAGGAGGGGTCAGGGCTGGTAGATGTACTTTGGGACGGCTCTGAGCTGCAGCACTTGTGTTGAAGAGCACGTACCACAATGGTCCTACCTACCCACCTCCATGTTGTTTCTTCCGTCTGGGGAAAACCTGGTTTCACTCTCATCCTCATTCTGGATGGATGCAGCTCTCTGTCTCTTGGATAATTTCACAGAGGAAGCTCGTGATGAAATGAGGGGCCATCCGTGGAAGGGAGAGACGTGGAATCCAAACCTGCTGACTGTTCTCATGGCTCTGATCTACAGTATGTACACGTTCAGGCAAGGTTGGACTAAGCAGTTATATTCCTTTTTGGCTGTAAACCCTTGTGTCTCCCAGCAAGCTGGAGTTCTGTAGAACCTGCTTGCGCTTAGCCATGATACCGGCATAAAAATCTGTTAGTTATTCCGTCCTACTAAAAAATTTGACCTTTTCCTCAGAAAGTTCAAAACTGTGTGGATTCTCTCATGACATGCTCTCCCTTCTCCTAGCAGCAAGTCGCTTCGTCCTTACCTTGCTCCTTTTCCCACCATCACTTGCCAAGTAATCTTTCCATCCCAGGTAGTGCCTTTGGTGTCTGGGTGACCGGTTTGTTGAAACTGTGGCATGAAAAATATTTAGCACAGATAACTATTTTTTTTGACTTGGTGCTACCATTTTCAGAAACAAACTGAGGAAAAAAAAGCTTTGCAAATTATTCCTGTGGCTTAGTACAATAGAAGACACCTTGCTGTTATTAACAGAGAAAGTTCACATTAGTCTTATTTCAGGCAGGGATGATGCAATTTTGTAAGACCAAATCAAACATAAAAGATAAAGGATTCAGAGGAGAGGAAAAAAGGGTATCAGTAAAGGATTAAAAACAAGATCCAGATTTCATTGTATTTATTTCTTT